AATTACCCGCCCGAGTGTTTGATTGCTGAATGAAAGTTGTGTTTTATTATTTTTTTTTTGTTCACAAAGTGTTTGTTTTGACCTTGCACTTCCCCTCCCCTGTGGTTGTAAGCCACCCCGAGTCCCCCCAGGGAAAAGGGCGGCATATAAATCCCAATAAACCTAAACCTAAACCTAAAATGGCGAAATAAAAGATTATAGTAAACGAGACTAAAAGGTATTTTAGATATCTTATAGCAATTTGTGTCTACTAGTATTGTGCAGGATCTCCAGTGGGTTGGATGAGAGTCACATTTTTTTAAAGAGGAAGTTGTTAAATACATCGAGGAAATGCTGTGGTTAAGTCTCATAATCCCAATATTTTGGATTTAAATTGTTGGTGGTTACTTCTGCTAGAGGATGCCATGATGTGGCTATTAGATTTCTCTTCTGTCCTCTTTCCCTCTTTCTTTCTCTTTCTTTAATTATACATATTTTAAATGACATGTCATTTACCTGTTTTTTTTTGACTAAAAACTTCTTCTTCCTACAACAAATTACATATCAGATGAAGATATTCTGAACACTTCTTAAATAGCTGAATGTCAAAATTGAGTTGTACTTATAACAAAACAGAAACATAGATTATCTAACACTGTGTGTGGGATGCAGCTCTAATTCATACAGTGCTCAGAAAAGAAACTGGCAGTCTTGATCATACTACACACATCTCCATAATAACAGGTTATAAAGCATACAATTTCAAGAACACCCACAATGAAAACTACACTTTCCAAACAGAGACTTGTTTTGGACTAAGCTCAGTTCATTGGCACCAGGGGATTCTTCTTGAGGAAACACAGGACATTAAACCTACACATGTGCATGTAAAATGATAAAGAATTATCATCATTCTTCCTGGACATTCTTCTAGTCTAAGACACTGGGCCCAAAATCAACATTCTATAATCTTTAGCATAAACATACTACCCACATGTCATCAAAGTATTCCACATACAGTAGCATTCATTAGAGTGATCTTCTTCAGATTTATAGATTTCTATAAGGCTCGAGATATATTATTGAGAGCTAAAAAGTATTATGTCTTTAGCTTGTTCAAACCTAGTTTATGAACTTTATGACATGTAATAATATGTCTTTTTATATTTTACATCTGTTTTTTTTACATTTGCTGTTTTTACCCGATTGTTGTGCAGCCCATAGTAGCTGTTCGTAAGATAGGTAGATATATAAATTTATTAATAAATAAATAAAACATTTCTTAATTTTAAGAAAATGGGTGATTAAAATATTTTTAAAAATCAGTAAGAAAGGAACAATGCAATATGATATATTTTCATACTGATTAACTGAACTCAGAGAATAGACATAACTTGATAGATGTTACATCTTATTTTGTATATGCACATTCTTTCAGCAATCATAATATTTGTGAACAGAATATGAATTTTATCAAATTCAAGGGATGAAATGCTCAACAAGTAGCTTAAAGTGCAATTTTATTTTTTTGTAATTGCTATTTGAATTATAGTTTAGAAGTCTATTTATAAATCTTAAAAACATTTAATATCTAGGCTATATTTTGCATTGTTTTCTGAACAGATCAACTGGATTATGTCTATAATATGGAAATGCAGTAAATAGTTTGCCCTATCTAGGATCCTATTTTTCTATAATTTTTTTAAATGCATACTATGTAAGTTACAAATATTCAACAGTGCTTAAGTCTGTTTTCTCAAGATCTTAGACAATCAATTAGAGAAGATGGCAAGGCATCCCTGTATTTTAAAATATAAAAGAACCACAAATTCCTACATTGTTAAAAATGAATAATTAAAATATTCAAAGGGGATGCCTTTAAAAAATAAGCTAAAATACTTATAACATTTGAAGTTTCATATTTTTAACTGCTGTTGATTCCCTAAACAATTTTAATTACTTCCAGAATTTATAGGAAATATGACTATAGAAAGTCACTTGTGTATTCATTGTCTTCTGTTTCAATAAGGTGAATCACACTTAGCATTGTGCTAAATGATAGCTATGGACTTGTTCTTAGGAAATTTTGATTGTCTTCAAATAATCTGATACCAAAATCTTAAGCGAAGAGCAGAGATATGACACAAATTAACCATGGACTCTGCATACATGATCTTCCATTCAAGAAGCATGTATGAAGTTTTTATTGGAGATAATAAGTAGCTATGTTATTACATTATTGAACGCCATCACTGGAAAGGAGAAAGGGATTTTATTATAACCTAGTAGGGAAGAAAGAATGGACTTTCTATTCATTTTTTTCTGCATATTTTCATTTCAGGCATGATAATTGGTTCTTCTGGGATCCATTTATAAATACTTAGTGCATGCCTATGTGGCAAATACATAGATAGTTGAAGGAAGGGCAGATGCACCTTTTTAACATGTAATAGAAAGTGCACACATGGTAGGACCTATCAATGATACCTGAGAGAAGACCATTATATAGGATGTTTGAGAGATCACATAGCTAGTATGTTGTCTAATTATTACTATATTTATTTAGCCAGCAATAAAAATGAGATAGAGCTGTATATATGAAATGTGAATAAATGAAAATAAAAATAATTTTTACATTTTCTTTATAACATATAATTATTGAAGTTCAATATTGGCACTTTAATAAACATATTTTATTGACATGATCTGGAAAAATACATACATCCAATGTATAGGTATATGTAATTTAAAAAGAAAAAGAGAAAAAACTTACAAACACACATACACACACACACACACACACACATGAATGATATTTCTTTGCTTTTATCAATAAATTACAATAAATAAATTGTGGCAAACTATTCAGATTATACAAGGAATTATATAGAAATATTGTATTGGCTTGTTAAAAAGAGGTAGAAGTCACTTTGTGTAACTGACTTCACTGTGGCATTCAGCTGTAGAAAGAAACAAAGGAGCAGATGTAGTTCAAGATTTAGGGAAACTTTCCATTAAAATTTAAGCCATTGTGACATGTAAAAACAATTCATAGCTTGGAGGGGTGCATAAGGTGGCTGAGGTCAAGGAGACCAGCCCATATATTCTTAATAGTCTCTCTCTAGTTTCACTCACTTGCCTGACATATGTTTTCTCTTTCATGGAGGTTCTCTCATTCTCCTTGGATGATTTATATTTTCATTATGTTTCTATATGATTTATGATTAAAATACTATCATCATTTTTAAATGGTTGATTTCAATACAATATCATAGCTTCCTCCCACCAGGTGGTAGGAGAAGCTATGATTATTTCCCCATAATTCCAGGTAGCATGGCTTGTCAGTAGCAATACTACCTGGAAATTAGGAGAGTTGTAATCCAATGCATCTGGAGGATACTTTATTGGGTCATGTGACAATATGATTTTTATACAATCACTTTGTCAGTTTCCATGACATGTTTTTTTTTTCAGTATATGACTATTCAAACTGCCTAAGGAGGAAAAGTTAACTAGTCTTACAGAAAATTGTTTTCATAGATCTTATCAATTTCTATACTCTTTCATTATTACTTTTAACAAAGCAGCCTACAATGAAATGACATATCAGGTTTAATCACAAAAATCTAATGATCATTCAAAACAATCACTTTCATAAAACTTTTATAAAAAAAATGTCTCAGGGAATCAAGCTTTAGGAACGTACAGTTTATAACATACTAAAATGCAAGCTTTTTACTCAGATTAATGAAGAGGTATATAAATAAAATCAGATTGCAGTTATTAATCTGAATATAGATTTTTATCTCAAGTTTTATCTCAATATTTCAATGCCATGCTGTTTTAAACAGATCTAGACTTTAAATAGAATAGCTAATATATGCAATAGTACTTTCAGGTAAGTACCTTTTTGATGCAATCATGCAAAAAGAATCCTAGAATTAGAAAATATACCATTGCTTTATGATAATCCTAACATAGCACATACATTTTCATGAATTTTCTTTAGTTACTATACCATTCAGTTGTAAATACATTTACTAAAGTATAACAGGTTCGCTTAGCTATTCCATTTTCAGTTAATATCATTTAATAAAAATCACTCCATTTATTTTAATGAAAGTTTCCAATTTCATAGGTTAATGCCTTAATTTTGAAAATAAAATAGGTTTTTCTAAAGGAATATGTTGTGACACATACAATCAAAATTAAGGAGGAAAAGGAATTTTTCAATATGTAAATAATAGTGAAGAATTTGATTTTAATCTAAGCAAAGACCTATCCTTTTAAATAGCTGATGCAGTGAGAGCTCCCCCTTCTGTATATAACATTATTTAATAACAGACAGGGTGAATATATATCATAGAAATAATTTATAAAGAGCTGCCATTTTAATTGAGATGGAAAATTATCTGGTTCTAAACTGCATAACTATATCACATTTATAGCTGTACGCTCAACGAAAATTGAATATTTTACTTGGAAAGTCTGCACTGTAACTGTTGACTGAGTAGCTCAGTTCAAACCATGGTTGCATCTTAATCATGATTAATGCACATTAGGCTGAAGCTTTCTACTAACTTAAATGAAAACCTCATTTTAAAAGACTTATGTTCTGTTTTATTATTTACTTTCTAAAGTTAAAATTAAGCAAAATTGGAAATAGTACAAAATGTAACACAAAATTAGACTTAAAAGAAAGGAAGCCCCCAATGGTAAATAAAAGGAATTCCAACCTTTATTCCACTTTGAACAATTTTGTGTATGTCCAGAAATGGTTCTTTGACTATATCTCCTTCAGGTGTTAATATTTTCACATATCCTTCCTTCTCAAGGATGAAAAGACGGTGTGATCCATCCCCAGAATGTACTGCTCCAACAGGTTGCCTGAAACCACTTACAACTTCATGGAGGCAAAAGCAATTGTGTTTATGTTTCCTAAAACAAACAAGTAAGAACATTATTTTAATTTTCCTCTTTAATAGCAAAAAATACAAAATGTGATATATTGTTGCCATTTATTTAGCATGATATATTTCAATTTGAAGATAAAGTAACTTTCACTTTTAAAAAATGGCTAATTAAACTGATGATTGGCCATTCTTTTATAAGCTAGGTTTTTTATTAACTATCTACAACAGGAGTCTTGAATCCCCAGGCTGTAGTCCACTACCGGGCCTTGGCCCATTCAGAACTGGGCTGCGTGAGTGGTGGTTGCTCACACACGAAGCTCCATTTGCCTGCTACTCACACAGAACCTTCCCCTCTCCCCGCTCCCCGGCTGGGCCACCAAGCCAGAAAGGTTGGAGACTGCTGGTATACAATATTAGTTGATGTTTTATCCATGGGAATTTACATCGAGACATGGAAATAACATCATCTGATTGGACCCAGGAAGTAGATCTTCTCTGTCATTGTGCCTGGGCCTGGAGCATCATCAACCCAAAGAATGGTACACTCCGTACTGTAAATGTATTGATCTTTAAAACAATTGAGTTGGAGTGTGATGCAAGCCTTTTGCATCCTTGGACATATTCATTGAATTTTTTTATTTATTTTCTAGACATGCATTGTTCTTCTTTGTTATATTGTTTCTTGCTCTGTCATATGCTGCCCAGAATTTTGATGATGTTGGGTGGTCTTATAAATTTGATGAATTAATAATAAATATTAATTGTTTGGAGTTTTAACTAGTTACTTTCAGAGCCTGTTTTTTCCACATAAAGAAACAATGAACAAGACTGCAGAAGAAGAGGCAGTAGAAAAAGAGAGCACCTAACACAGATTAAAAGGGGACATAAAATTGAAAGTTTGAAGAAAAAATAGGTGGGCATGGAGATAATGTCTTTGGAAAGTAGCAATATGACTCTACCAGTAGAATATACTATCTGCTAAAAAAAAGTCTTTTTTGCTTCAATTGACTTTTGTTTGTGTATTTATTTCCTAAACTTTCTGTTCAGAAATTTTCTTATTATAAATTAGGAAAAAATGAACATATTTATTCTGCATAAAAATAGTTTGTTCCTATGATAATTTTACTTAAAAAAGAAATACGGTTTCCTGTCTGTTCTTCTCTTCTGAAAAGCCACTCAGAAAGGTTGGGATGATCTTCTGAATAGTGTAGAATGTTAATTCCCTATTCTCCATATGTCTCATCCAGTGGTGGGATTCAAAACTTTTTACTACCAGTTCTTTGGGCGTGCTTTGTGGGCATGGCAGGGGAAGGATACTGCAAAATTCCCTCCTCGCTCTCAAAATTTTTGCTCCACAGTGTCTTGGACTGGTTGTATTGAATTTGTAATTTGGTTGGTCTCCTTTTATATCCTGCCAGTATTGGTTGCCTAGTTCTACCTACTGTAGAGAGTTATGTCAAACACATGTTACCAAAATATTTTTCTAGTTTTTGATAGCCTTGTGGACCAAAATGCTTTACTCAGAAATCATAGTGATATAGATCATTCTGAATGTTGGTTGTACAGAAAGAAGAAAAGTTATGTAGAATTGCTGGAAATGTAAACCTTGAACCAGAAATAGAAATGGTATATGGTGACCCTAGATTACTGTGTGATCATTCCAGGTTCTAAATGAAATGTGATTTTTTTTCAACAGGTTTTGAAATAGTGCTGTAAGGAAATCAGGACTAGATAAGGACTGTAAATTATTATATGCCTGAGAGCTATATCATGCTTGGCAAATAGATCTGGGTTTAAAGGTTTTATAGTTGAAAATCTAGCATTCCCTCCTTTTATATGAAAAAAACTGCTGTTATTCTGTTAAAATAGTAAAATGAATTCACAAAGCGTAATATAGAAGTCAGAAATAAAACTGGGCTAAAAGAGTCTGGAATAAATTTATAGATATTTTAATTGACCCACAGTTGGATATTTGTAAACTCATACTCACGATGAGCATAAGCTCTCATTGCTAAAAGCAATGCTTGAATTTTTCATTAATTTCCAATGATTATCAAACATTTAAGAAACATCTTTTTTAATTGTACTACATTTAAATACTTCTGTTCCATTTCTAATAATAAATGATTGCATTGCCTTTTGGAGTTTGTGAAATCAGGCAGGTTATAAATAATGTAAATAAAATGTGGAAATTAAAAATATGAAAATATTGAGTAGAAAGAATAATCAGGAAAGCAAGAGTGATATTAACATGTAACTTTGATAAGATTTCAGATAAGACATCTGCAATATATTTGATCTAACAATTTTATGAATCATTAGTAAAGTATGCATTATGCAAGAATTCAGTATTTTAAAGAACAGTTTCTTAGCCAAAACTGGAATAATCAACATCTGGATGACATAGCTAGGGAGCATAAGCAGAAACTGACAACACATTATCAAGCTATGATGACAGGATTTGTGAATTAATTATATTTATCTTTAGAAACCTGCTTAAATCTTCTCCTTTGCCATATTCTTCTATTTGATCCAAATAGTTAGAAGATGGTCCTCGAACTTGTTTTCTTGGAAAATCTGGAAAGCAGAGACCATCATCTTTTCTTGCATAGTAGAAACAAAAGTCATCAGCAGTAATTTGGAGCAAACCTTTGAAAAGGAAAGAAAAGATATTTAGCAAATTAGTGTTTGCTGATTAGTGTTATTTTCTATTTAGACTTTTCTACAAAGGAATGTATTGAAACATTTCACTAGCTACCATTCTGGTTCACACATACTGATAAAACATGATGTTACCCAAATCAGTATGATAAGTTAATATGATATTAAAATTCATACATTACATGTAATAGAATGTTACAGAACTACTAGCATTATGTGTGAAGTCTTCGGTGCTCTCTGAGCTTAGTTGTTTTCTTGCAGACATTGCAGAAAACAACCAAGCTTAGAGATCACCAAGGACTCCACAGATCAACCCTGAGTTACATATATTCTCTTCAATTGGTATATTAGGTATGAACTAGGCCACTGACTAATTTTGATGTGTTATTTCTTAAAATACAAATATTCGTCCCAAGAATGTACATAAGTATACTCTTTATATTATAGAAGAAAAATAATATAGGCAAATAAGACCAGAAAAGGTTTATTAGCATTTGAATCTCTGCAGCAGAATTTATTTATTTGTATGTATGTATGTATGTATATATATATATATATATAAAGTTTTGAGAAATAGCAATCACCAAAACGTTACAGCCTGACAAGTACCATTAATATCAGAATCTATGGACAGAAGCTTTGAACAATATTGAATATAGGCATCATATTTATAAAGGTTACATTAAATAATAAGAGATATCCATTCATTTTTGTATCCTACAATTATTTCATGAGGGAATTTTTCATCAATATTTTTCATCAATATACAAGTAGTCTTTATTTTATGAGTGTTTGTTTAACGATGATTTAAAGCTACAGTAATCTCAGAAGAAGTGACTTATAACCATCATTGAAGTTACAACTATCACACCACCCTAATGGTCATGTGACTGCAATTTGGGTATTTGGCAACTGGCTTGCCTTCTCGATGAGTAGAATGGTGTCATAAACATGATTTGTGATCTTCCTAGCCAGTTTCTGACAGGCAAAGTCAAACTGGGAAGTCAGATTTACTTAACAATTGTGTGTTTCACTTAATAAGCACATGATTCACTTAACAACTACAGTGAATCATTTAATGGCACTGGTAAAAATGTTCGCAAAATCAGGGCTGGTCATGTAAACGACTTGTTTAATGACTACCATGCTTAGTGACTGGAATTCGACTCTACCTATACACAGAGCCTTCATAATGCATGAATGCCAAAAATAACTCATAAACCAAACATCTGTAAAGACTAAGAAACAACATAAATCTTCTCCATTGGGACTCTTAAATTATTCTATTGTAAGAATATTTATTTCTTAGGATCTTATGTTTCCTTCAAATGATTATATTTTCAAATTTTACTTTTACTGTTTTATCCTTTTAGATATGTCACTCAGTGTCTCTGAAGTTGGATAGACTTGAAATTTGAAGTATAAATAAAATAAAAAATTACATTTGTCCTATTTCACTGGCACTTCTTTAAATTCTAGAATGAGCCCTATGTGAGTATATGAGTTTTTCAGAACATAATAAAGTAAAAAAGTTTGGCATGTAGAGAAAAAGTGATGGTATAACATGTTGGACATAGATACAGTTCCAACGTTTGTTTAGTTGTTTTTATTTAATTTAGTTCACAGCATGCATGTCACTCTAAAAATTCTAAAATGTTTCAAAGGAAAAATAGGTATCTTTAATTAAAAATAAAAGCCTGCCAAATATTTAGATATATTATTTGTGACATAATGTTTTTTTATTCTTGAGGAATGTAATAATATTATATAAAGATCACATCATAAATCAATAATAAAACTGATTAGAACTCATGCCAAACTCTCAGATTTAGGAGCAGCAATCGAACATTCCATTTATAGATGTTTTCCAGACTATCAACAGAAATATTCATAAAGATGTAGTCCATGTAGTCCTGAAAAACAATTGACCAGATGGAATGAAACCATCTATCTTTCCACTTTGCTGAATTTACAACTTTCTTATATTACAATATAAGAAATAAGAAATATATACATATACATAAATACATATTACAATGTATTGTTATCAAAATCAAACATAAGAACAAAATGGCCTTGAAAATTGAACTAAATTCTGAAATTCCTTTAACTACTTTCATGCTAAAGTTTATTTTTAAACATGTTCCGAAGTTGTAATTGCATTAAAGTTTTACAAACGTATTCTGAAGACCATCAATTTCCATAAAAATGATTTGGGAACTGATTCTCTGATTGTAAAAGTAACAAATATATTTTTCATACGAGCATATAATACTTTACACAATCTGTATGAAAAACTATTGTGTTTCTGTGAATTATATTGATACAAATTACATATTTCTCTAAAATACAGTATGTGATCAAATGATTTACCTTTTGTCCACAGAAAATAATCAGCCTAAAACTAAATAATTCATGGAGGTCCTCAGTTGTATGCTTTGAATACACAGTAAAATTTCAGTATATACAACATCTCTATCAATCTATCTAATATATTCAATTGATTCTACATTGCCCAAATGAATGTATGAGCAATTATTTTAGATACATAATGCCAATAAACAATATTCGTGGATAATTCTACACAATGAATTAATGGGAGAATTTGAAATAAAATAAATAAATAAATGTCTTTGTGGAATAAATAGTGTAAACCCACTTAATGATATCAAATATCTACAAATGCATAGGCTGCAGGAACATTTGTCTTCCAGCCATATAGCATCTATGACAAAAATATATACGCCTGCACAGCTTTGACATAACCTGTAACAATTAAAGCTAGAACCACTGCTTCAACCCATTTGTCTCTTCCTAGTTTACTCTGTCTCATTCAGTCGTTCCTATTCTTTTTTCCCCTGCCTCTCCTTTTAGAAGAAGGCAAAGCTATTCTTGCTGAAGGACTTATCATTGATTATAGAAAACTTTTGAAATTGGGCTGAGTGTCCCATGAATTTGAACAGAAAATTTAAGTTGCTCTTGCACTACATCAAATTTTATTTCTTGAACCCTCTGTTACATTGTTACACACTGCATGGTGGCGCAGTGGTTAGAATGCAATATTGCAGGCTAACTCTGCCCACAGTCAGGAGTTAGATCCTGACTGGCTCAAGGTTGATTCAGCCTTCCATCCTTCAAAGGTCAGTAAAATGAAGAGCGAGATTGTTGGGGGAAATGACAGTTGGTCTTACCTGAACTGTTGTTTTAGGAGGTTTTGCAGGAATAGCCAGGATTGGGTATTGCGATGTCCAATTGGCCTCAAGACAGAGTTAATTTGAAGCCACACCTCTGTGCTCCTTGCTTCTGGTTCCCAGTTTCAACAAGTTAAGACCACTGCAAAACACCTGAAAACAAGTCATAAGGGAACACCCCCTACCCCCTGAACTCCCCCAACCATGGACCAATGCTAGGGCGAGAACCTGGCTAATCCTGAAAAACCTCCTAAAACAACAGTTCAGGTAAGACCAACTGTCATTTTCCAGAGGAATTTTGCAGGATTAGCCAGGATTGGGACATACCCAAGTTAACGTCCCTCAGGGGGGGCACTATTGGTCCTGGGCTCTTCATGCGTTACCACCTGTTGCATCAGCTGATGCAAATGCGTCTAACCTGTAGTGCCTGATAAAGGGAGATGGGGACACCGACGTAGCTGCCCTGCAAATCTCCACGATAGGCACCAATATGGCCCTGGCCGCCAAGATAGCCACACTCCTGGTGGAGTGTGCTGTGATGCCCTGGGGCACCGGAAGGTGTTGCAGCGTTTGGTCGTAGGGTGTTACAACAGGTGGTAGCGCATGAGGAGCCCAGGACCAATAGTGCCTCCCCTGAGGGACGTTAACTTGGGTTATGTCCCAATCCTGGCGAATACTGCAAAATTCCTCCGGAAAATGACAGTTGATCTTACCTGAACTGTTGTTTTAGGAGGTTTTGCAGGATTAACCAGGTTCCTGCCCTAGCATTGGTCCAGGGGTTGGGGAAGTTCAGGGGGGAG